ACTATCGTGGCTTCCGATTGGTTTAGATCGGAGTTCTATTGTGTGCTCCAATTGGTTGACTCGTAATTCCATTGTTACATTACATTACTTTACATTACATWACATCGAATCGAGCTTCGTTCTCCATAACCTTTTCGTGCATCGGCTCTATGATGCTGCCGCCTCGCCAGCCTCGCGTCTTCGCTCGGCTGGCTCGTTGGCAATAAGAAMCAAATCAGCCTGAACCTCCAAAATAGGTGTTCTTATACGCGGGTTTTTTTACTGTAGTTACTAAGATAACAGACAGTAGTAGTTAGCCCCTAAGCCCATAAAAATGACTTTAGACTTTGGTTGAAACATGAGTATTAGAAGCTATTAGAAGTTATTAAAAGTCCATATGCTCAATCGACATCAATTACAAGCTTTTCAAATAAAATAAAGAATATGAYAATTCGAAAACACGACCGCATTGAATGCCGGTTGACCATGGCCCTTTAGACACGGACTATTATGATTGACAGTCTGATACYGAAATCACTACATTTGATGTTAACTGTTATTTCATTTCACTCATTAAGTTCGTCCTCTCTCCCTTTTCTAAAAAATAATCACGACACGTTTGCCAACTATCCCAAGCCACGTGACGCTCACTTGGTAACAGTGTGCATACACTTGGCAACGTACTCAACATTTTTCGACGTCACACCAGCGATAGAGATTCGGCCATCTTTAGTCAAGTAGATTGAGAACTCTTTTTTTAGTCGTTCAACCTGCGGATAAAACAAAGCCTACTTAGTTGGCATTACATTATACAAGATTCAGATAGACTTGCATTCATTATATCCGTCACATCGTTTCCCAACGAAATTACGCAAATAAGTAAAGTAGGGCAGGTAAGGTTCGCTCGCAATACAGCTTTATGTAACCTTCTACGGTGGCCATATGTGATTTCTTTAACACATATCACAATAGGATGATACGTAAACGCAATGGTTTCTATTCAAAATAAAACGATCGTACAGACAGAGACTTGCTGTCTACACAGAGTCTCCGTGTGGATTATAGTGTTCCTAGCAAGAGAGCATGATAACCTCTGAGGGACACAGGGGGCCCAGGCTCAACAGTTGTGTTGCTTTCACGGCGGTGTATTAATTGCGTAGTTCGCGGCTCGAGCCCTCATGAAGCCGTAAATGTTTTCTACTTCATTTCTTAGGACTTTTCAAGACTTTCTCTTTCTTTTCTTTTTTCTTTAATAAGTATAAACAGTTTTATGAATAAAGATTGATTTTTAAAGCCATTATATTTCCCCCCTCGTAAATAAAAATAGAGGGGGGGAAAATATAAAAATGGCTTTAAAAATCAATCTTTATTCATAAAACTGTGTTTATACTTATGAAAAAAAAAAAAGAAAAGAGAAAGTCTTGAAAAGTCTCAAGAAATGAAGTAGAAAAAATTTACGTCTTCATGAGGGCTCGAACCGCGAACCACGTTATCTGGCGACGTCGTCGCCGCAAAAAGTCTTGGTGCTTAAGGTATCTATTAATACATTGMCACCGCCGTGAAAGCAACACAACTGTTGAGCCTGGCCCCCTGTGTGAGGGAGAGACTGAATGTGGACATGACATGCTGTCTGAATGATATACCTGTTCTGGTTTCAAACCAGTGTAACAAAACATTCCAATTTGTTCCGTGATGTGTGACCAGTCCAGAGAAGAACCTTGAACACAAAGATTATAGACATTATACCATTACATTTATTTTCAAAATGGATGCAGTTTGCAATTTGGTTGTGTTGGTTGCAAACCTGAAGACTAGCAGGAATGCAAATCATGGCGGCAGCGCCACAACCCTTGACCTGTATGGTAAGACTAACAATTGATTACCTTCTTTCTTAAGGTTATCAGCAAGTTTCTGTCGCATTGAAATAATTCTGTCAGCCATTCCCTTCACTTCACCTTCCCACTGTACTCTTAGATCAGCATCAGTAAGTACCAAGCCTGCAAGTCGTGCACCATGGATGGGTGGGCTTGAGTACATTGGACGGATTATGATCTTGATTTGTGAAAGTACTTTGTTAGCTTCTTCTTGTGAGTCGCACACCACACTGAACAGACCAGTTCTTTCACCTGACAAACACCAAAAGATTTTAACAATTTGAAATTTATATACAACATTTAATACATCTTTTTTATAAAATTCATAAATAATAAAACTATAAGAAAATCTATACTATACTAAAAATCGATTTCAGACAACGTTGGTTACTGAACACCGCAAAGCAGCATAAGAAATCCCAAGACCACAATACATCGTTTCTATAACTCTTTTTGCCTTGTCACAAATGACAACTCTATACTTAACTGCTTTCCATTAAATTCGTTTATACATGTAGTCACTATTTTGAAATAACAACAGAATAACCAACAACGCATTGCAGTCTTTGAATACAATATCCTGTATCAGTATTMATATGTTTTGTCTTACCATATAATCCCATGTTCTTGGCAAAAGACTGTGCCAAGACCATACTGTGTCCTTGTTCAATAAAGTGCCTCACAGCTTGCGCATCTTTGGTGGCATCACCACTGGCAAAACCTTGGTATGCCATGTCAAAAAATGGGAAGAGTTTCCTATTCTATTGAAGTAAAATATACACTGAATTGAAAGAACCTATACAGACACACAAAACATTTCTTTCTGCAATCAGCAACCTTCTTATTAAATCAAAGTTACTMAAAGAGCGCRTGTGGTTACTCSCAGCGTGCTTTATATTTATTGGCTCAGACTATTTGTTTTTTTTTTTGTAATTGAAATACAGTAAGTGTATCTAAAATCGTTTGGCTTTGTCATTAATAAAGCAATTCATCATGATATAATTATCTAATGTAAAAACCTATATTTCTCCATTTCTTATTTTAAAGTTGTTATTTCACTAGTGAAAATAACACCTCCAAGGTTTCTCTATATAGCGGAAGTAAGAAAAAAGGTATTTTACGTCATAATTTGCTTTCATATACAATTATATGATAAATAGAATATTACATGTTTGCTTGGAAATACAATTTTATCTCTCACGTTGAGATCTTTTCAACACTCGAACCTTATATATTCAAGTGTTCAAGTTGGCAGCAGAAAATCCATAAGTTCTGCACAAATCAGCCACTAATCTTGAGTTATATCTTCTTCCATGTTCATTGGATAATTATTTAATAGATGTTTCTTCTGTAATTAACATTTCAGCTCTTTCAAGTGTTTGAGCTATAACTATTTAGAGTCATTTAAAATGAAACAACTTTTTGCAGCCATCTGTCTATTTTTGTTGTTGTTGAACTGTTGTTTTTATTAATTCATTTCAAAGTTAACTTTGATGTGCATTCAACATCACCCTATTGTGTAGTCAGGTGCTATTCCTTACATGGAGCAATAACATAGTGAATACTCTGTCCTTAAGGATGGGAGTAACAACAAAATTAAAAATAAATGGAAAATATGCCMTATGTCACTTTCCTTGTTAATAATAAAATCACTCCTACTGGACCTTCTACAATATGTTAAAAGCCAGGTTTTGATAGCAAGATGGAATGCCTGAAATAATGTGATGAATTGAGGTCTTACCTTCACAACTTCACTTATTTCTTTCCATTGTTCAAACTAAAACAGATAAAAGAAKTAATAAAAATAAAAATAAAATGAATTAAGCAAGAAATGATAAGTTCAATAAAAAAGGAAAGAGGGAAAATGGAAAAATGGATCTACAATCTMAAGGTAACTGTGCTGACCACCAATTGGTTTTATTGRCACAGAGGCCACAGTTTGGATTAAGRCATTCTCACTAATTTTAGTTTAATTTTAGTTAGCATGTTCTTGAAGCTTCCATATAATGGAGTGTTATTCTTGACTGGTCTGTAAGATACCATTTAAAATAAATAAAATTATAAATAAATGAATAAAATCTTTAGGACAAGTCATTAAAAAAGACTATAAATTTTACCTTAGGATCTACACCAGTGGGGTTGTGAGCACATGCATGGAACAGCACTATRGAGTGTTCTGGTAAATTCTAGAGAGAGAATGTCCATGTCAAGTGCTGCATTTTTAAATAATTACTTTTTCTTCTTTCTATTGATCAGAAACTAAAATTTTAAATGACAGATCTAAGGGAAGTAAGGGGAGAGGTTAAAAGCTTGTGAAAGTCTAATTAATTCAACAAGAAATGYACATTTTTAACTCGAAGATTGCGAAGCAATCGAAGAGTTATAGGAGGGAGATAGATGATAGTGTGTGAGGTGAGATGGACTAGTTAATAGGTCACTTATTTTTTCTGTAAACATACGGGCATTTAGAAATCCCGCGTAACTAAGATGGCCAGGTGTGATTTTAAACACACAAAATGTGATTTTTGAGGTCTGGACGTTCTTGTATAAGCTTTTTACCAATTAATCTGTTGATTTCAGAAGTCGTTTTAGGAGATATCGTGTCAATATGGCTCATAGATACAGCATTAATTCTATTACGATGATTTCAAGGATTATTCCAATAATTGTCGATCAGTATTTAATGCTCATTGATTCATATAAACTATAAGAACGCAAAATATAAATTTTAACGGTCAACATTCAAAGTGAAAGTATCATCACTTCAAACTATGAAATTGTGATGGTGTTGATAATTCATTGTCGATATCGTTAAGGTGTTACGGATGCATATAAATTATTAAATTCAAAATTTCAAGTTCAATATTKTTATTTTATAGATTTTTTGTCGAAATTAGACCACATCTAAACAAAGTCTGAGGCTTCATACAGATTTATGTCCACGGTATACTCGTCTAACAATCTTCGCGTTGTGTCGCCATTGGCGGCTTGTTTGATAATATAATCACCTCTAAATTTCTAAAACTAACAACACTATTACCACATTCATCACTTTTCAATCAGCTTCAATACATGTACATCTGAAACAGTCTGATTGTACTTACAGACAAGTCCTCCAAGCACCCAGAAAAGTCAAAGCCACAAGTCTTTGGGTCATAGTAACGATACTGACCCAGCTGTAAGCGAGAATCCCTGTTTTTTTTTATAAATAACAACATTGACAGTAATTATTATAACTGCAATAATTAGTCTTAGAAACAATCAGGCAGCAAGTATGTTTACCTCATGATTGGGGTGTGGTTTGCCCAGGATGGTGCCGGCAAATATACTATTTTATTTCCAGGAAAGAATCTTTCCTGTAAGAGAAAAAATGGAAAAGAAAAATTAAGACTGAATAATCTAATAACATCTATTCATCTCTTGATAATGTAGAAGAGTGTGCAGGCTTCGTTATCTCTTCTGGACTTCAATAAATTTTGGGTTCTCTATGGAAAGAATAGGAAACAAGGGGACTGGTGAGGTAGACTGCCTTGTTACTAGTGCCACTCTATTACTGATCTAACACAGGAAGCCCATTATTTTTTTAGAAAAGAGATGCTTGCAGAGGAGGCTAGTCCTTGTGTCCTTCTACTGCTTATAAAATATAGATTATACTTCCACATGATATATCATTATCAAATATTAATAAAAGGATGAGTAAAATCAGGCGGTTAACCCGATAGAGAATACTCTACATTACATGGTAGTTGTAAAGCTCACCAAGAAAGCTCCACCAAGGCGAAGTGCACCAGTTCCTGATATTGCCTGTACAGATGCATTCTGAAATATGTCGAATAACAATATTTTGAAGAGAATAATAGCCAATGGTCTACATTGAATGTTAAAAATATTGCATTGAATCAGAAGGTTGAACCAATAAACTGTTATGGATGATTCTTACCAGTCCATTTGTGATGACAGGACTGTCAACACCAAATGCCAACTTAGCAGCGGCACTAACATAGTCAGCAACACCATGTATAGGAGCGTACTCCTTGTCTAGATTCTTGGAAAYTATCATTTCCTCTGCCTTAAGAAACCCAAGCATTATTGGATGATAACTATGTCACATTTCATACTTAACAATGGAATCCTCTCATGAATAAAGTTGAATGGGACAAGGAGTAAATCTAGTGGAATTGTACAGGAGATATCAACTTTACAGCAGAAACCTGTCAAACATTTTGGGTATTTCTTCAACTTGGTATAAAAAAATACTTGAAAAACACATTAATTCACTATTATTAATAAATGTACAATTAATCTCTTCTTCTTAAGAAATCGTGTWTTTAAATAGCTCCTTATGAACTGCTTATGAAGTTGATACATCATTCTTGAAATCAGAAAAAAGAAAATCCTAACAAACTAAAAACCTTGAGGTTGTGATGCAAGATTTTTGGCTATAGACCTTATAGAAAGAGATCAAACTCAAGAAAGGTCTTAAAAGAATACTGAATTTGGAAGAGGTACTCAAATTTGATCTAACTCTTGACACATATTCTAATGCAGTAAACAGCTGTATTTCTAATTACATTTTAGAATTTAYTACAGACGTAAGGTCCCATAAAATCACAGTAATATTATGGTTAACCTTTTTCACTGATGGCAGCACATAAGGTTTCCCTTCRTCATCTCTGTAAGCACCTGCACCTAGATTAACCTTTTGTGGATTGGTGTCTTTCTTGTATGCCTCAGTTAAACCAAGAATGGCATCGGGGGGTCCAAGCTCTACATTGGACCACCAAGAACTGTGGAAAATTGAAATCTAAAATGACCAGATGCCCCTCTCTGAGTATTTCCATTAAAATACTAATTAATTCAAAACATTTGCATCATGTAGAGTGCATTGCTACATCTGTGAAATAGCTTGAGAGAATCRTACAATGAATCTTTGATCTTCCATTATTATTAGTGTAATTTAGTACAAAATATGTCATACAGTGAATTGCTACACAGTGCTATAATGAGCTCAAGTTGGTGTTACAAAATAAAATATTGTCATAAATTAACATACATTATAAGTGTCAATCATGTGATTGAGCCTTCCTAAAAAATGTATCAATTAATTATTCACAATCGATTTAAAAAGCAACTTCTTATTTAAGGTATCTGGGGACAGTTGTTTTTAGTACCGACCATTACGAAAGAAACGCATCGAAATGCAGTATGTTTTGATTTGATCCGATCAATATTTTGTCAAATGAAGGATAAAAGACCAAAATATGTTATATATAGATTTTATGAAAATCGAGTATAATTTATTCAAGTTATGGGAAAATCCTGGAAAACACTTAAACTTGAATATTTTGCAAACCAGCCCTATTTTCTCTAAAATATTTCTGAACCTTGTTATTAGTGGTATTACAAATGTGTGTGAAAATTTTAGACGAATTATGTCGAGCGCAACTTAAAATATGATCTCGTATACACAGAGCAGGCTTTTTCAAAGAAAAAACTCAAGCTCAAAGTCAAAAATTGTTATGTCGACTTCTATTACATGTAGATCATTCGATTTCTGCGCTAGTGAACTTTGTTCCTATTCCTACATTCATGCTTTAGTTTGGGCGCTGTTCATCAATTCGTTGCTGAGGCAGAGCCAGAATACTTAAAGTGTAGTTTTAGTGCTAGTTTGCCCATCTGACGGATACGAATGTCAAACATCGTATCTCAAAAACCTGTCCAAAGAATCTTTTTAAATTTCTTGAGCATGAAGCCGAATCCCCTCTTTATGTTTTTCGTTTGGTCKTTTTYMAATTGAAATGTTTGGACGGACRTAGTAAAATTATCAAAAATGTTAATTTTGTGCTTGCTATTTYGCCAGATGATTGTACKTTATGCGAAAGCCTTTGTTGACGTTCTTYTTTCGTAATAGTCGGTACTAAAAACAACTGTCCCCAGATACCTTAATCCTTTGTCTTCTGTGAATTTTAAAGCACTTGATTGTCATGCCTCACTGCCATTACACATTTAGTGTGAAAYGTGTGATATTGCGCATCATCAGATCACCGAAATAAATTGGGCTATCTTTCATCCAGGGGGGGTACTCGACCCTGTTTTGGATAGGTACGTGCCGCCAGCGGTCTAAAACCCTTACCCTGTTTACGACGCTAGAAAGTAAAAATCCATACCCTGTTCAAGACAAACCGGAAAAATAAGGAATCGCTATCTACGCCACAACCATCGAAACTGCAATTATACTGACATCCATCAAAGACAATAAGAAGTTTTTGATAACACGTTAATCCTGGTACAGTGAAACGGTATTTCTACTATTTCGACGGTATTTCTTATGAAAATATTACCCTGTCCAAGACACACAAAAAAATTATCTTGGTCTTTTATCGAAATTGTAGAGCCTGTTTAAGACAATTTCGGGTGAAATGTATACCCTGTTTAAGACAATTTCGGGTGAAATGTATACCCTGTTTAAGACAGCAAGGCCAAATATATGGGAGAACCCCCCCCCACGGGTYTTTCATTCAGTTCCAGAACTAAGCTTATAATTGGGTTAAGGTAGTCGCACCGGCTAAATCGGGGTCTTATTTTCTCAATTTTTTTTAGGTAGGGTATTTATTTAGAACAAACATATTTTTGGCTCCTCTTGTTTTGTCACTGTTATGTTAATTTCAAGCGCAAAAAAGCGAGTAAAAGATAGCATGTTTTTGTATTTTCATGCCTGATCCGAGGTGCCAGTTTCACACCTCTGTGAATAGTTTCGAGGTCAAGGCATTTCAAGTCAACATTTGAATGGAAATAACGTGTCTAAATGGACTCAAAACAAGCTAGAAATCAGTTGAAATTGGTTGTAGAATAAATTTCCATAGTTTTCAAGTCAATTTGGTGGGTACTTTCCTATTTTGAAGGCAATTTGTCCAAGTAAACATCACCTTAGGGGTCCGTCACGCAATTCATTTTGGCCTATTACACAACACTACACAGGAACTCCAAATAATCGAAACAAAGCCCTGGCTATGCCCTAGGCGTCCCCTAGATSGTAACTATTTGTTGCAAAATGGCGGACAAACATGGACGATTACGAAGCAAGTCCGTTTTGAGTGATTCTTCAAAGAAATACGACCCGAGAAAGAAAAGTAATCGGCCACATGTGTTCAGGAGTACTTTCAAAACGTTTTATTGAATGAATATTTATTCTTTTGCAACGAAATTTGGCACGATCTCTCAAAATAGTGAGTTCTAGTATCGTGTGCTTGAGAACTAAAATATTTTACATTCGCGCTAAAATATCCTTGATTTTTGAAATTCTGAAATTTCTTTTAAACTAAAAGGCTATGCTTAGTTCGAAAGCACAGGATACTAGATCTTAAAGAGCTCTTTCAGAATATGTCTTTATATTGATGAAATTGTTGATAGTTAGCTGATAAAACGCGAAAAATGCTAGAAACAAGTCAGAGGGGTAATCGCTCTAATCCAATTACAGAAACATATCATATTACACAACTATCATAAAAATGTTCCTTTATAATTATACTAACATCACTGAAAGTCTGAGTTTGAAACTCTTTATATTTCACAAGAAAATGACCCTTACATTTTGCTAAAAATAGCCGGTGCTACTACCTTAAAACGAATAAGCACTCTACGCATAGCTCTACTTAGAGGTGAAGCTGAATCATTGCACAAAAAGTAGAAAAATGTTGCATAAAATTTACTAAGCTTACAAGAAAGTGACCTTACTAAGTCTAATAAGTTAATTTTTACGTGCAGAAAATCGTGAAAATGTAATGGTCATACTTCTAGAATCTGTATTTGTACCTTGAACGCGCACCAATCATGCTAAAAGTCCTAGAAGACGTTTGCAGAGATACACGCAAAGCCTGTTGCAATGCCATCTTTGTTAGACCACTGCACGCGATAATACTTTCTACCGGACACAATAACCTTTCAGACGTGGAAGGAAAAACAATCTTCGTTCCTTATAGAACAAAACCCTATGTGCATGCTGGGTATTTTCAGGCGTGCCTTCGCGCATTGACTTGTGGGTGTTCTTGCAGTGTGAAGAACGCCTTGCCGTTGTTGTGGTTTCTGGTGCGCCTGTCGTCCAAACATACTCCCTAAAACAGGTATTTTGCATCAATACTTGCCTAGAAACGTTTMGATCTATGTAGATTCCTCTTGCAAGGATAAAGAACTCCTAGCAAACTGGTTTTCGCCATTGCTAGTCTAAATCTAGGCGTGTATGTGCCGTGTCCTTCAAGCCACTTCTCGGAAATGTGCCGCATTTCATAGCTTTTACTTTAGTCATTTGTCATTTGGCTACTGTCAATCTGTATACCATTGGTTATTTTTGATTTTCGGATTTTCTTTGACAGCATTTGTGAGGTGTGTAGTCGTATGTRCAATCACTGAGATCGGCGTTGTTGTTTCCCTCTTCTGTGTGGTGCTACATTACAATAGCTACKGTACATGTAGCTGTAGTTTTACGSGCCGACGGATGATTTTCCTTTTCGATGCAGAAGTACTGCCTGCAATTTACTAACGATGTAAAGGATTCAAAGAGGACATAAGTCCATAGTTAAAGTAGTAGACATTTATTTAGTACTCAGCCGTATTTTAGTACTGAGGCCATCAAAAGTTCCTTGAGTTTTCGTTTTCCGTACTCCTCGTGAAAGTTGGACCATATTTATCAGCTTAATATGTTGTCAGATGAACTTGTAAACTTGACATACAACCTTATTGTGTTTTCAGAAATATCTGGCATTGATAATTTCCTCTCAATGGCAGACCAAAATAGCAAAAATGAAAAAGAAACAGTTGATAATGAAGTGGTGAAGATTACACGTGATATTGCAGTACAGCATTCTTCAACTGACACTGGTCCGTCAGTCAGCTCTCAGGAAAGGGTGTGCACAGCAATGGCAACAAGCACAATTGCCAAAAATGCTGCAGGCATTTTGTTTTTTCTTAACTCTGCTTCCACAACTCAACCCAGCACATCTACAACAGTAAAGCCTGCCATGTACACTAATGCAGTTTATGTCTCTCAGCCTGTGAGTGCAAAGCTGATTTCCCAGGTCCAAAGTGTAATGTCTGCATCAAAGTCAACTACATCACCTGAAAACACTGTCAGTGATGTTGTTGAGAAAGCTATGGATCTTTCAAACCTGGGTGATATTTCAGGAGACTGCAGTGAGCATCCTGCAACTAATGCTGCCTTGACRCTTGTCTCGCTTGGGTCAACTGTAAGCCAACCTGTTCAGGAAATAGTTATAGATGAAAGTGGTAGAAGTAGTTTTGCCACAAATTCAAACTTGGATGAGGTTTCTGTTACTATAGTTGAAAGYGAAGAAACAGTGCCCAAGTCCCAAGGAGAGTCCCCAGGCTTGAATACAATTGTTATTGATTCATTGGGTGCAAATGATTGTGATTTGCCCCTGCACAGTAATGATACTCCAATGCGTGAGGTTGTAACACAGACTGGTGGTGGACAAGCTGAAGTGGTTATTTTAAAAGCTATAAAGAAAGCAAAGAATAAATCACTGTCTTCATATCTCACTGAACAAAGTTTAGAGAGAAAAAGAAGAGCTGAAATGAAGGTTGGAGAGGCCCAAAAGAAAGGTATGAGAATGATATAATGTCATTTTATAAGAATCATGTTTACACRGACATGTAAAATAGAATCATGTTAATGAGCAAGTCACCAGGATGTATTATATATTCTTGCTCTACATGGGCTGCCRCAATCTGTCAGGGACATTCTTGAAATTGCATGCTTTTGCATTAATCTATTAAAATTGTTATTTTTGGCTCTTCAGCATTAGAAAAGCATCGAATCCATGCTTGTGATAAGTGTGACAAAAAATTTGTTGCAAAGCATGATTTGAAGAGACACATGATTGTACACAGCGATGAAAGACCCTTTGGCTGTCAGGTAAATTTTTGTGTAATTGTGTGWGTACTTCTTGTATACATGTAGCTATTAAAAAACTTATTGAATATACTATAAAACTTCCATTCATGGCCAATATAGACCWATAGACTCGAATGGTAAATAGTCTTACTCCATTCGTCTCTATAGGTGGTCAATAATAGATTCATTCTATGACACCAAGAAGTCATTTGGAGTCAAAATCTGTTCACATTTCATTCGGAGCCAAAAACTGGTCAGATGGGATCCCTGTCTTAATGACGATATTTCCCCACCCCTACCACAACCTCCGAGGTCACGAATAGATACTATTCGAACGATTCGTATAAGACAAAAGTCCACTCGTATATACGGAATTCAATTGGTTTATGTCAGCAACAAATCATCCATCAAATAATCCATACATGCTTCGTTCATAAAGCCATCGGGCGAGAACAAGCCACTCTCTTAAAGTATACACTCACAGAATATATTTATAAATCCAGATTTGCAATCATCCATTCATGCTTTGTTCATAAAGCCATCGCGTGATACCAAGCGACTCTTTCAGTATACGCTTGAATAATGTTGACGAAAGATATGTGGACAACATTTTACCCATTTGCTATCATGCATCCATGCTTCGTTCATCAAAGAAACTATTTATGGATTTCATCCGATCATCACTATCATCCATACTTGCTTCGTTCATAAAGCAAGCAAAGAATAACTGACCGCCAGTGATATTAATTTGCGGATAACATACGTTTGCTGTCCATTTATCTATATACATGCTTCGTTCATAAAGAAACCAAGTGACTTAAGTACTCACGCTAGTTATTGTACACTTTCAATAAGGATTTAAATAATCTAAAGAAGGAACAAAGAGTTGAGATTCAAAATACATTACATTTCAATGGCCATGCAACCTGCCACATCATTCATGACAAAACTGAAGCAAACACGATTCGGTCAAAACTTCCAAAACTATTTTCATCTTTTACACCCGTTTGTTGGTAAATAAATATCCTAGATGATATTTTTATTGTAAAGCTATATAACTTGAAAAAAGAAATTTGCATCATTCGATTCAAGTCCCAAGGCAATGGACCTTTCGTGACAATTTGCCATAACAATAGAAACAGATAAGAGACATCCTCTGATTTCCTGTTGAGATCAATCAAGTTGAGTGGATGTTTTTCAATCACTGACAAAATTTACCAGAACAATTTTTATGCATTAATGAAATAGAACATATAAAATATTCTTAGCTGCCATAATTTCAAGCTGATSAGTGAAAAACTTTTTTACACRACAAAAACTKTTTGAATTCAATTGTAAACAACAGGGCAATTAAAAACGCCTTGCCTAAATGTGTCTCTAAGCAGCCAAATCAAATTTTTCAAAATAAATCGAAAATTCCAATGATTTACATAGCGTCCTTCATATGACCTAAATGTAATAGAGAGCTTTGGTGATCTTTTACCTATGGAGTCAAAGTGATTCTGTTTCCAAATMATAACGTTATCACTGCAACTTTACGATTGATTTCTTCATCAGCATAAGAATGAAAAAGGATAAAACAACATCATTTTACCTCTATTGCTCATCAATTGAATTCCATCGAGACGACCCGTATAATTCAATCACCATTTGTACCATTTGTACCATCGGTGAGACTGTTGAGGCCTGCTAGAATGAACACACATGTCCACAGGGATCCCGTATCTCCCCAAAACAGGCATAGCGTTTCTCAAACTGATCCCAGCGGTAAAAGATTATCAMATCTCTCTATCTAATATCAAGGTCKCTATGTAAATCATTCACCAATTGAATTCCATCAAGACAAGCCGTATAATTCAATCACCATTGGTACCATCGGTAAGACTGTTGAGGCCTGCTAGAAATGAATGTACATTTCCACAGTGATCCCGTATCTCACCGAAACTGGCACCGAAACTGGGTTTTCTCATCCCTCTTTCTAGGAGCATTCTCTGTCAGMTTGGTAGGGAGAGCAAGGGCTCAAATCCATGACGAGCCGTACAGATGGTACCGTTGGTCATTTTGATCCCTTTTTTCCTTTTTCATTACAACTATACCTGATGAAAAAATCAATCTGAAAGTTGCACATGATACAAATTTGATTAATGATTTTATCAATATGTAACTTATTAGCAGTTTTCTTCATGAAATATTGGATCCTTGATAATTTGGCTCCCATGTTTTTTGCTTCGTCATCCCTGTGCCRATGAAACAATCGATCTGAAAGTAGCACGTGATAGCGTTTTTTTATTTCGAAACAGAATCACTTTGACCCCAGAGGTAAAATATCATCAAAGCTCTCTATTTCATATTAACGAGGATAAGTAAATCATTCACCAATTGAATTCCATCGAGACAACCCATATAATTCAATTACCATTTGTACCAATGGTACCATTGGTGAGAGTTTTGAGGCCTGCCACAGATGAATGTACATGTCCACAGGGATACCGTACCTAACCAAAACAGAAATAACATTTCCCGACCCTCCTTCACAGGAACATTCTCTTTCAGATTGGAAGGGAGAGTAAGGCCTAAAATCCATKAGCCATACAGTTAGTACTGTTGGTAATTTGGCTCCCATGTTTTTTATCCTTGTTCATTCCTATGCTGATTAAAAATTTAATCTGAAAGTCGCACATGATAGCGTTATTTCTTATTTGGCGAAGTCGAAAAAGCAGTTTCAAAATATCTAAAGTCATATCTACTCCCAAAGTCATAATGAAAATGACTTCACGAATAGATACCAATCGTAAAATACAAATTACGAATCGTAACAAGTCGTCTATATAATTTGGACAAATCTCAAAACTTCTGGCTTGATTTGTAGCTGATGCCAACTACAACTGTAAGTCAAAAATTTCTAAATCCACAGTACCTCCAGTGAGCAAACATTTCATTCATGTGTTGTGRTGTGCATACATCAAGTGTCATAGTTGCATGCACTACATRTGCATTACACACAAAATCAGAGCATGTAAACTCAGAATAAACTTAATGGGYTGTACTGTACAAGGTGTATTTTGACATAACATTTCATTTTATTCATATAAATCTAGCTCTGTGATAAAGCTTTCCGTACCAAGAATGAACTGAACCTCCATATTCCTGTGCAYAACAAAGATACGCCCTACAAATGTGAATTCTGTGGTAAAGAATTTAGGACAAAAGGATGCTTTAAATCTCACATAAAGTATCATATAGGTAATATTGTACTTTGCACTGTTTGTGAGAACTTGGACACACATGAAATTCATTGACAGAAAACTCTCCATTTGATACAATTAAAAGTACATTGTAACATCACACTGTACTTAATGGTACTATAATATTCTCTTCCTGATCAGTAGAGTATTTATWGTTGATTCATACATACCCATGATGCAATATAAATGCTGCATTAATTTGCTTACTTGATTGGGACAGTTTTGATTGAGTGCTTTGCCAATATCAAGTTGTGGAATCTCCACTTGTGAAAGCTCTTGTAAGCAGACAGCTCTGATTATGGACAGCTTTCTAAAATCATTGTTTTCTTCTTGACAAACACTGAACTCAAACTTTCTCATGGGTAGACAGCTCTACCAAGATGTACACTTTCGGTTTCTCAAAGGTGTCTCCATACTAGAGACTTAACTGTATGGTGTACAGTATTCAATCATRATTTTGTTTTCAGGTGATAGAAGGCACAAGTGCACACAGTGTGACAAAGCATTTGTCAAGAGTGCYGATCTTAAACGCCATGTTGCTGGCCACAACAATGAAAAGAACTTCAAATGTGCTGAGTGTGGCTCTGCATTCACACGCAAAGATAATCTGAGAGCACATATGTTGCTGCACAGTCGTGATAGCGTTGTGACTTGCGACAAGTGCAATAAGGAGTTCATCAATCGTGTCTACCTTAAAAGGCATATGCATGTTCACAAGCAAGCTAAGAAGAAGCCTTATGAGTGAGTGCTGTATATGATAGATTATTGACAAATATTGAAAATAGATAGAACRCTGCTCCACAATAATGGGGATGGATTTTRYAATAATTTATAAATTACCTGTTACAGTGAGAGTTTTTAGAACTAATCRTTGCAASCTCAATTTGATCCTATCTTCATGACAATATTCAAATTGTGCAGTACAAAGGACTATAAGATCAATAACATGGCATGCTGTACAATGTCGAATTAATGCAATATATTATATTAATAAGTAATAACAGTGTATTCATAAAACTATTATCCTTTTGTAGGTGTCAGTGGTGTCCCAAAACATATGAGCAGCTGGAAGGTCTAAGAAGGCACATAAGACAACATGTTGGAGATGAGAAGTTTGTGTGTGAACAATGTGGAAAGAAGTTTATCACTGCTATCCAGCTCAAACGACACATGTGGTTGTGCCACGAACAGACAAGTCCTTATAGGAAATCAGTCTTGTGAAGTTTGAACATACTATTCCTTCTCTGTAGATTTTGCTATAATAGTTTGTTTCAATAGTTAGGATAAAAAAAAATAAGAGAAATCTTGTTAAAATGGAATTATGCATATTAGTTGGATATTAGCTAGTACTACACCTAAAACAATGAAATGTAACTATGGAAATCTCCTGGAGCTGATTACAGGGTAAACAGCGCTGTTCACTGGATAAATTCAATAAATTTTACAGAAAATGTTTAATAATAGGTGCCCATGGAAAAACACTTCTACCAGYTGTCAAGTGAGCTGCATTTGACAAAGTATAGTGTAAATACTTATATACAGTCATCCAATTTTAAAAAGTTCAAAAGGTTCGTTATGACAAATGGTTCGTCAAGACAAATGGTTGTGTTATATGACTTGAACAGTTTTTTACTGTAAAATCATGGCCTCTTATAGAAGAAATGCAGTGTGAATGATGTAAAAAGCCATATTACTGAATATCCATAGCAATATATCTTTCAAATTTGTGACTACCCCAACTAGTGTTGTTGATTGCATCTTATTTGAGCCTTTTGTTCTATTGTGATAACATTGTATAAATAACAAATTACTGATCATAATAACATGAGTCTCCTTCGCATCTGTTTCTGGTGTCAAAACACAATGAGTAATCTCCGTGTTTTAAGACCGGAAACAGATGCGAAGTTATTATGATCAGTAATTTGGATGCAAAGGAGACTAAATAATATTCAAGCCGAAGGCAAGCCATT